TGGGGGGGGGGGTCCCCCTCAGCCTGGCCTACGCCCTTTAGCAATCTAGGAGCCCTTGGGGGATGTCCCACTGATGGCTTAGGCCCACTGCCTGCGGGGAAGTGGGCCTAAAGGGCAGTTGGACATCCTTAGCACTGCTGCAGAGGCCGGAGAGGCTCCCGCCACCACTGCTACACTCACCAGCGGTCAGCCAGGCTTCTGGCTGAGCAGGGCTCCCCCTGTTGTAGTGCACTGACCACCAGAGGGCAGCTCCTGTGTTGAGCATCAGCCCCCTGGTGGTCAGTGCACGTCATAGCAACTGGTTGTTCCACCATTTGGTCTATTTGCATATCTGCCTTTTATATAGGATTATCCCCATTTTACCTCCAAGAGATCAGAGCCACAGATTCATGAAGTTATTCACCCAGTGTCCACAGGATCTGCACTCAGGTCTATACATTCTTATGACAAATTATGGGAGGAAGTAAAAGAAAATAACTGCGAGATAAGAAAGTGGATGCAAGGAAGTCCTAGCCCATTGTCTCCTAACTCTGCAAAACACGCACTTCGAGACTGACATCGTATTAGCCAACAATGTTTAACGTCCTTATAGACATCAAGTTTTTACAGATAAGTATTTTAAAATTCACAATCATTTTTACTTTTAGACAAAGTGACTTAATTCAGGGATTTGAAAATTTCTAAATATCAGTGTATCTATATTAAGGAAATGCTACATAAAGAACTGTGGTTGCAAAAGCACCATGTAAGAAATTATTAGCTGTGTCTCTCTCTGAGTGCTTAATCACACATTACTATGTGTTGGTTTAAACCTTGTCTTGAGAACTATTAGGAAGCAATATCATGCCTCATTCTTCTCTTTTGAATTCTAATCCTAAATTACATATGTGGAATTTTAAAGATAGGCACATATTCATGTTGAGTTTAATAAAAACTGTATCCTCAATTTTCCATTTACTGAACCATGGGTAAACATTTTTTATGAATTCAACATTCAATCAGCATGGATGCTTTTCTAGCAGAAATCACTATTCTCTCCCACGAAAACCTTTTAAATGCCTTTATTATTGTTAATTTTGAAAAGACATGTGGTTCTGTTTCTTTTAAATGTTTTCTAACTACATGTGCTAACATTTTTAAGGTTGAAAATGATTGGATGGCTAAGATTTTCTTTAATATCATGTGGGGTCACTAAGGAAATTTAAGAGAGAGGCTGCCAGTTGATAGTTGGTAAAATTGGTGATAAATAGGGGTTTGTTATTTTATTCTCTCTATTTTTATATTTATTTGAATTTTTTTATGGTAAGAAGTTCCAGTACCTGAAATAATACTGAAGACCGTTTCTACTCCTTACTCTAAATGGTAAAATATTTATCACCGTGTTTGGGCACAAGCTTTCTCTCTAAGGAAATATTAAATATATTTTTCAGCTCTTCTTCTATTTCTTCTTCATTCAGTGTCTTAAACTCCACCAGATCCATATTGTCCTTATAATTGAATTTTCTAAAGGTGAGGGTGAAGCCCACTAAACAGTGAACCCCATTTGGGGTTTGCAAGGAACAGAATGACTTGCTTGTAAACACAGATGCTGCAGACGTCTGAAGGTATTCATTAACGGACTCAAAATCCTCAATTGTTCGAGGTTCAAGCGTAAAGGAGTAGATCTTTCTGTACTTTTTCTTTTCCAGGAGATCAGAATTAAGGAATTCTTGGTTTGGAACGTACTGCTCTCTTCTGATTTGGTCCAGGTACCACGTTCCTCCCTCTTCTGTCAAGCGGAAGATGCACGGCACCTGAGGCTGATCCTTCCCAGAAATTAACTCCAGAGGCTGCCATATCTGGTAAGAGCGTCCAAACCCAGCATCAACTATGAGTTCTTATAACCAATTCTTTCAAAATATGCTTCGATGTCCATAATGCCCTATGACAGGGAAAAGAAAACAAAAACACATAATATTACTTTTGCACTTGGATTTCTTTGACTAGCCTAATTACAATTCATGTATTTTAAATATGTAAATACAAACAGTCAATATAACTATCTACAATCATAAGTCTTTTGTTTACTACTATTGTAATACAGTGATATCAAATGACATATGTTGAAGAAATACTTGGTTCTCATAGTAACAATCAATGGGAAGATAAAGCCATTGAACAATTCGAAAAAAGCCCAGAGAAAAGCAAATTGGTGCTTCTGAAGAAGAAAACTCAAAATGAACAATTAGAAACTGTATATAAAAATAAAAAAAATGTTTTCCTGAATTAAAGCAAAAATTAAATCTGAAAAATTTTTTCAGCAAAATTCTGAAAAAGTTTGATTCAGTGTTCAACACTGGGATATATTCTGGTTAAATTATTGAAATTCAAAGTGGAAGAAAACTACTTGGGTATTTGGTAGAAAAGCAAACACTTTTTAAGGGAGAAACCAACAGGCTGGTGTCAGAATACTCCACTGCAATATGTTACTACGCTAAGAGGAAAGTCTGATCCCCAAATACTATTCTCAGATAGGATTTCATTTCATCACAAAGGCATCATGAATATGAAAACAATCTCAAAGATGAAAGAATTTGAGGAATGCATGAAGGATGGCTACCCTAATAAAGTGTTACCTCCTAATTGGCCAATCAAGTGTGAATCAAAATGAAAATAAGAGAGGCCACAACAAAGGATCCATGGTCAACACTGACTCCTTTTATTATAGAACAAAGAGTAGAAAAGTTACAAGAATTATGGCTAAAGTAAATTAAAAAAAAATTTTTTTAATGTGATACATGAAACCCATTAACCATATTGGCCTCCAACATAGGTACAGAGCAGTAAGGAATAGAGCATGTTCAGTGTACTCAGAGAGGGCACATGGGATTGGTGAAGATTCGGGACTGAGGTTAGTGTGAGGCTGTGTGTTCCACTCAGATCCCATCGGATGTCTTTTACCATGTCACTGTGCCCCTAGCCTGGCTTCTGTGTCCTTATGCTTAAGGACCTGCACCCTAGATCAGCGGTTCTCAGCCTGTGGGTCCGACCCCTTTGGGGGTCGAACGACCCTTTCACAGGGGTTGCCTAAGACCATCGGAAAACACATATATAATTACATATTGTTTTTGTGATTAATCACTATGCTTTAATTATGTTCAATTTGTAACAATTAAAATACATCCTGCATGTCAGATGTTTCAATGAATGACTGCTGGGAGGTGTTGAAAGTCCAGCCACCTTGCCTGGAGTCGGGACACATTTTGAGTTAGAACTCACATCCAGGCTGAAACTGGGTTTTTCCCAGGGGCACTTCCCTAGTAAATGACTCGCACATGGATCCTTATCTCAGTGTCTGATTCTGGGGAACCTGACTTAAGACACATCAGTGGTCATTCTGGAGAGTCGTGCAAAAGAAAGGTCAGATGCACAGGCAACTTCAGAGGGCCTTGAATATCAGGCAAAAGAGACTTGCTTTCTTCTGTGGGTCAAATGGATCCTGTTGCTTTATTGAACTGACTGCTGTAATTTGTCCTAGTGACATGGTACTTTAATTACAAATTACCCTTTTGATGTACCCTTGGAAAATAGGTTGTTCTGAAGAACTTACTGATCAGTTCCCAGTCTCTAGGATCTCTACATCTTTCATGGACAACAGTGGTTTTCAGTTTTGTTTTGTTTTTAAAGAAAGTCCTAGTCTTTCCCCAAATAAAGTTGTAGGCAAGAACCTAAAATGGAAAAATTAAAAACAGATTGATCCAAAGCTGGTTCACCCATGAGATGGTGCTGTCGTACCTCAAGGCTATAAGGCAGCACAAGTTCAATTATGGATTGAAATATACCTACTGTCTAGATTTCTGGTGCAGAGTAGAATTTTGAGGAGTGATAGTGAGTGACTTTCTTTGTGGATGTTTTGTTTTCTTTTTCTATCCCTTTCCTTTTCTCTGTCCCAGTGAAGGCTGGCATTTCACTGGAATGACACTATCACCTACCTCCCTTCCCATGGGCAAGTGGCCAGCTGCTTGACTTTCTGGATGGAAAGGGAAGTTGCTAGGCTAGTCCTGATCAGAGGCCATCGTTCAACAGGCCATGGTGCACTGAGCTTGCCTCTCAGGCCCACCACTGGGTGAATGCCTGCAGAGGTCAGGCAGGTCCCGGGAGCAGGCCCAAGAGCCAGTCCACAGAAACAGCTGCTCAGCTGAAGATGGTAAAAACCAAGCAAAAAGTCTCTGGACAACAGAGAATTGACAACTTAAAAATTTCCTTTTGAGGGGAGGAGTGGACACCCTGTTTTGTGCTTGAGGAACTGAAATGAGGACCTGGGGAAGGAGGAGAAATGCTGCCGCCACCCCAGGGCTACAAGCCGCACAGTACACTTCCAGACTGGGGTGAAATTGTCAACCCCACTCCTGGGATTCCTGGCATTACTGAATAGACTTTTTAAAATTTCTGATGCGAAGGTCACATAATATAAAACTAACCATGTTAAAGTGAACAGATGTACCATTTGGTACATTCACAATTTTGTGCAATCACCACATCTATCTATTTTCAAACTATCTCATTAGCAGGAAATGTAGCCCCATATCCACTGAACAGTTACTTCCCATTCCCTCCAGCCCCTGGCAGCCACCACTCTACGTGCGGTCTCTGTGGATTTATCTATTCCGGATATTTCACAAAAACGTAATCATATAACATGGCACATTTTGTGGCTGCCTCCTTTCATTTAGCATGACATTTCCAAGGTTCACTTATTGTGTGACACATGTCAATATCATTCCCTTTTATGACTGAGTAATGTTCCATGGTATGGACTCACTATTTTCCTTTCTCCCTTCCTTGATGAGCATCTGGCTTGTTTCCACCTTTGACTGTTGTGAATAGCGCCGCTGTGAATGTGTTCATTTTTCAGTAAAGCATGTGTTTTCAATGATTTTGTGTTTATACCAAGGAATGGAATTGCTGAGTTGATAAGAGGAATTTT